GCACGATGCTCTCCGTGAGTTGGTATTGCTCTAGGGCGTGTTTGACCAGTTCCGGCACGCTGGTCGAATACCACGAGTCCTATATGCTCGAAGGTTTCCCCTCACCGATCGTTAGGGCTCGCTGCGCTGGAGCGTCTGGCATTTCGCGCAGAGCCGCCAGAGCACCATCGAGTTTCTCTTGTCGGGCATCCTCGGGAACAGTGAGCTAGAATGACTCCCATGGACGTGGTCATGAGCTTCTGCTTGAGGCCGCGCCGGGGTCATCTCGTGCGCAGTCTTGCTTGCCCTCACTGTTCCCGCTGTGTGGTCGGCTGCGGGAGATCCAGACAACAGTGCAGTCAGAGAGGAGCCTTCCCTCTACTGATCATGTCCTTCCCTCTTCTCAGGATGGAGAATCTGTCTGCAATAAAGAGTCTCCGCCTTCCCCACTCGTCCTACCCTCTCCCTCTCGCCCTCCCCTCCTTGACCGCTCTGGGGAACGCGCAGAACGCACTTCGGCCACACATCCCTCGAGCTGCGTAAAACGTGAAGTCTCCACAACGAGGTGCTCATTCAGCCTGCCCCCTCCCCCCTGCCTTTTCGTGGTTCTCCTCCCCACAGCAAGAAGGTGCCAGTCTCGGGCACCCCCGCCCGAGTGGGGAGCTCGGGGCGGTCCGGCCCCTTCGGCCTCGGCTCAGCAGGCGCGTTGGCTTCTCCCCGTCTCCTCGCAGGCTCGTGGTCGGCAGCCGGCGGCCGGGGCCCGACGTTATATCCTTGCAGCTCCTCCCTTCGGCTCTCCGAGCCCGCGCAAGACACAACGCCGGGTGCTGCGAACGAGCGCAGCAACTGGGGGTCAGGGAGGGGGTTCACCAGGAAAGTGCGCCAGTGGATCTCCCTGAATACACTAAAAAGGGGGGGGTCCAGAACCCCCCCCCCCCTCAACCCCCTTCAACGGCGGGGGGGGGTCCAGACCCCACTCCCGCCCGTTCCCGACTTAAGGGGGGGGGGTCTGAACCCCCCCCCTCCCTTGAAGGCGAGTAGGGAGTAGCGAGTAGTGAGTAGTGAGGAGCGAGTAGGGCGTAGGGAGTAGTCAGTAGTGAGTAGAGAGTAGTCAGTAGTGAGCAGTGGGAAGTGATGAGTGAGTAACGACTAGGGAGTAGCGAGTAGTGAGTAGTGAGTAGGGAGTAGTGAGTAGGGAGTAGTGAGCAGTGAGTGGTAAGAAGTGGGTAGCGAGTAGTGGGTCGTGAGTAGCGATTAGTGAGTAGTGAGTAGTGGGTAGCGAGTAGTGGCTAGTGACTAGTGACCTGTGACTAGTGACTAGAGACTATGTAGTGACTAGTGAGTAGGGGGTAGTGAGTAGCGGGGAGTGAGTAGTGAGTATTGAGTAGCGAATATGGGAGTAGCGAGTAGTGAGTACTGAGTACTGTGTAGTCAGTATTGTCTAGGGAGTAGGGAGTAGCGAGTAGTGGGTAGTGAGTAGTGATTTGTGGGCAATGAGTAGTGAGTAGTGAGGATTAGTGGGTAGTGGGTAACGAGTAGTGATTAGCGAGTAGTGAGTAGGGACTAGTGAGTAGTGCTTAGTGACTAGTGAGTATTGAGTAGTGAGGAGTGAGTAGTGAGTAGGGAGGAGGGAGTGGTGAGTAGGGAGTAGTGAGTCGCGAGTAGTCGGTGGTGGGTAGTGAGTAGGGGATAGTGAATAGTGAGTCGTGAGTAGTGAGTAGGGGGTAGTGAGAGGTGAGTAGCGAATAGCGAGTAGTCAGTAGTTGGTAGTGAGTAATGAGTAGTGAGTACTCTTTGGGGCTGGGGTCTACTACTGCTACGACTACTGCTACGACTACTGCTACGACTACTACTACGACTACTACTACGACTACTACTACTACTGTTTACTACTACTACTACTACTACTACCACCACTACTACTACTACTACTACTACTACTACTACTACTACTACCACTACACTACTACTACTACTACTACTACTACTACTACTACTATTACTACTACTACTACTACTACTACTACTACTACTACTACTACTACTACTACTACTCTACTACTACTAACTACTACTACTACTACTACTACTACTACTACTACGACTACGACTACGACTACGACTACTACTACTACTACTGCTGCTACTACCTACTACTACTATTACTACTACTACTACACTACTACTACTACTACTACTACTACTACTACTACTTCTACTACTACTACTACTCCTACTCCTCCTACTACTACTACTACTACTACGACTACTACTACTCCTGCTGCTGCTGCTGCTGCTGCTACTACTACTACTACCACTACCACTGCCACTGCCACTACCACTACCACTACCACTACCACTACCACTACCACTACCACTACCACTACCACTACCACTACCACTACCACTACCACAACAACTACCACTACCATTACCACTATCAATTCCACTACCATTACCAGTGCTGGTGCTACAACGCGCGAGCACAACGAGATCAGACATTCCCCGGTATGTTTTTTTTTTTTTTTCCGGAAACTGAATGGTCAGACGTAAGCCAACCAGTTGGTTTTCGAAGACTTTGCGGCCCGACCCCGCTCGAAACATTCGCAAAGGAAGCGCCGCAGGAATCGGACATTCCCCGGTGCTACAGGGGAATGTCCGTTTTTCCTGGGGAGTGTCCGATTTTCCCGGGCAAGGTCCTGATCGCAGGGGGGGGGGGGTGCGGCCACAGGGGAGGGAGGGGGGGTCGGAACCCCCCCTCTCCCCCTTCTGAAAGGGGGGGGGTTCCCCGACGACGGATCGGGGAAGGGGGGGGGGGGGTCCCCGACGACGGATCGGGGAAGAGGGGGAGGGGGGGCGTCCCCGACGACGGATCGGGGAAGGGGGGGGGTCCCAACCCCCCCCCCCCTGGGGAGATCCAGCGGCGCACCCTCGTTCACCAGGACAGCTGCCCCAGACGAGCTTCACGCGGCCGAATTCTTCGTGGCATGAAGCTGCCCTGAGAAAGTCCGCACGCGTGACATTTGACCCTCTCCTGGATTTCGCAAGCCAGACCGACAGGCCTGTCTCATGGCCGAACATGTCGGTCGGGCGCCCGCTCGCAAGAACATCCTTGCGGCTGCGCTGGGCTTTACGGTGGAGGAGGAGGGTGAGAAAGACTACTTCGTTCCTACCGCCCTCGCCGTTCCTTTCGATTCGCCGCTTTTCGAGCCTTTGTTACGCCCGTCCCTGTATTACGAAGCGCCTCGCTGCAAGCCGCCGTCTGCTCATCAACAATCGATCCCTGTGTTGACGCTTCGCGTATCCCCGACTAGCCCGTGCAGCAGCGGCCCCTGGCAGAGTTGCCGTGACCATGGAAGTATAGGAACACGCAGTGACACAATGAGGGGGGGGCAGCCGCGTATCCCGTGCACATTCCCATGTCGTCTTCTCTCTCTTTGGCAAGCTGGAAAGGCCTCCCGTAGGGACGCGGCGAAGTCCTTTTGGTTGACTCCCGGGTATTTTTCGTGTCAGGGGAGGCGCCAAGAAACCAGGAGTCAGCCATCAACCCTTCGCGTCTTGGAACAAGCATGGGGCGTTTTTGGGGAGCCCATGGGGCTCTGTTGAGACTGTCTTTAGTACCCTTCAGGCGCGCCTCCTCCTGATCAATGTAGCCGGCGCAGCGTTTCACCCATTGATTTCTGTGATTGCTTGACCTTGTCTTCCTGCCCACGCGCCGGACGGCGGATGGCTTGTGAGTGAGTGAGTGAGTGGGCCGATCAGCGGGGTACTTGATTTGGGCCGCCCTGTCGGAGGTAGAACAAACCTCTCCTGGAGCCCACTTGGGGCTTTCTTGGGGTACTCTTGGAGCCTTCGATGGTTACTAGGAGCCCCTCGTTTGGGCTCCCTTGGACGATCTTAGGATCTTGGGGCCTCCCCTGAGGCCTCACACGCCTATCATAAGGTACAAGGCGCACCGTCGCACAGCACGGCGGCATGCTGGGAGGCTTCGGGGACCCTTGTCGCTGTCCCGGAGGCACCGCTTGAGGCATACCGGAAGCAATGTTGGTCCATTTTGGGCAATCTGGTGCAAGACATGGATCCACTTTGGGGTATCTAGAGCCATCTTGGAGCCGTCTGCCGCCCGATTGGATTATCAAACCCTTCGCGTGTGATTTTTTTGGCGGGGGCGCGGGTAGCATGCTGAATCTCAGAAGCGTCATAAGAAATTTGCGTTGTATCAGCATCGTACCAGTTACGCTATTTGTTACGATCTCTGGCGAATTGGGTACATGTTTCGACTTGGGCTAGACTGGCAGTTGCCGTTTCACAGCCAAGGATCGTATGATCGTAGATTTACCATTCGGATTGATGATAGGTTTTGCCCAATGTTTGTAACAACGGAATTGGGACGTCTGGGTGCCTACATATATACACATAGCTATACATGTCCAATGTTACATCTGTATTTACATGTAAACACACATGCATGTATACATATATATGTATATGTATATGTATATGTATATGTATATGTATATGTATACGTATATTAGATCTACATGTATATGTATATGTATATTGATGAGATGTTTTGCTAAGCCATAGCTTGGGCTCACCAGTGCATGAGCCACCATGTCTACGTGCAGTGCATAGCCGCTATCCCACTTAGTGGGATTGTTGTTCGTGGATGCATCATTGCCCCCAGGAGTCTACTTAACAAAATGGGGTCCCCCTGGCTCCAAGGGACTGTGCAGAGTGACCCATATTTGATCACTCCTCCTAGGACGCAGGAGGCATCTTAAACCTCCAAGTCCTCAAAAGCTCTAGGTAGCGGAGTGTGGCCTCGGACCTTTGTCCTAAGAAAAAAAACGATTCTTGTCCGCAGCCCTTGCGCGGAGCTCACCGCAGCAAGGACCGTTGCGCTGGTCGCGCCAGCGCCGCCTGATCCATAGAAGCGCGGGGCTGGCCGCTGCCTCCTAGCTCGTATCCTCCTCCTCGTTATGCCGGCGCGGGGCTACCCGCTGCCAGCGAGCTCCTCCTCAGAGCCTCTTGTGTTTCTTACCTCTGGTCGTGACGACAAGGTTCATCACGACGATGTGCCTGTCCAGCTCAGCCGCCGGAACGCTCTTGGTGAGAATGTCGGACACGTTATGCTTCCCCAGCACCTTCTGAACCTTCAGGTGGTTCTTGCGGACGCGGTCCTGGATCCACAAGTACCGCGTCTGCACGTGCCGCTGCTTGCCCAAGCCCTTCCGGGACGCGAAGGACTTGGCCGACGTGGAGTCGGACTCCACGACCACGTCCAACTCCACCATGAGGTCACGCATGAAACTCTGCATACCCAGTCCATGGGCTCCTCCATGTACCAATGCATAGAATTCCGCTTCGCCAACATTCAGTCCGAGTGCCGACTGAATGCTGGAGCTGCCCTTGATCACGTGCCTCCCCATCCTGATGACCATGCCGCTGACGCTCTTCCGGGTCAGCCTGTCCGCCGCGTGGTCACTGTCGACGGACACGAGGATGTGGTCTGGCATGCGCTGCTGGTCGTAGATGAGGCTCACGTACGGCCGATACACCAAGTATCGTCCCAATCGCTTCAACTCCTGCATGGCCTCCTCCGTTGGCTTGGCCATCCTCTGTGCCAACGTCTTCACAGCCTCGCCGATGTCATGCTGGTCCTGCGCGAGAAAACTCGCGCGCATCACAGCCGATCTGAATGTCGAAGCTGCCGTCGAGGAAAGTGGCGGTGACATCCGATGCCGCTCAATGTCCGCATCGGTCGGCTTGACGCTTGGCGTCTTCACGCCATTGCCCTTGCCGAGTCCCAGCGCCTGCACGATGAGCTCCGAGTGCCTAGCGTCCGGCTCGATCTCAACGTACTTGCGGCCGTCCTGGTTATAGCCAACCCTGATGACTCTGTTCAGCACCGTCGCCTCCTTCACGCAGTGGTCCGCGAAGCCTAGCCTGTGGCTCTCCCGCACGGAATACTTCGACGCCAAAGTGGCGCCGATCTGATCAAGTCCCAAACGAGGACCCAATACCACGAAATTATCACCATGCACTCCACCACGTAAAACCAAACCTCGATGAAGGAACAACGCCGGGTTCGCCACTCCGATCTCGAACCCGTCCGTCTCCAGCAACTGCTGCCAATCATCCATCCAATTACTACTGGCATCGCGGACCCCATACATGCTGAGATTGAGCCTTCCGACCATGTGCTCGTCACCTGGTTCTCGATCTTCCGCGGGAATGTCGATGTATAGCTCACGCTTCGCCGGCGCCATGAAATGCGCGCGGCTGATGTCGAAGATGGCGATCTCTGGGTCCGTGGTGCCATCCACGGAGCCGTCGGTGACCAAGAGAGAGAACAAGGCCTTGATAGCCTCCCACGGTGGCATCGCGCTAAAAAGCTCGTGCGCCAGCAGCTGGTCTTTGGTCTTTGCCTTCAGCTCGCGACCGCAGATCCTCGAGCGCACGTTGTAATTGTCCTTATCGCCCTTGTTCACGTCAACCCACCGTGTACTCACTGTCTTGAATCCTCTGGATTCCATCTCGCTCCTCGGTACCTTGTCGTACAACTTGACGTTTCGAACCCAATCCATCTCCTTCTTCCTAGCCTCCTTTACCAACTCCGGGGGAAGTATCTCGCCTGTGATGTTGTCCCGGGTCTCCTCGTAGAACTCTACCATCTTCTTGATCTCCTTCGGGCCCAGGTCGTCGACTGGATAGTGCGGCTCCGTAGGTGTAGGTCCCGCAGCTGCCAATTCTTTACGCTTCGCGTATCCCCACCAGCCCATCTCACAACAGCAACTCATGCGAAGCATGGCGACAGTCGTGTTTTTCAGGCGTGTGTCCGTTTGGCCCCGCATATCTCCCCTGTTCCTCCTTCCTCCCGCCTCCTTGTACATCCTCCTTGTGGGGGGAGCGGGAGAAGGACGAGGCGGAGGAGGAGGGAGAGAAAGCGCTCCTCGTGATTTGAGTCGTTTGGGGTTTCTCGTCCTGGTGTGAGTCGTTCGGGCCCTTCTTCCTGGTGTGAGTCGTTCGGGCTCTTCGTGGTGTGAGTCGTTCGGGCTCTTCGTCCTGGTGTGAGTCGTTCGGGCTTCTCGTGGTGTGAGTTGTTCGGGCCCCTCGTCCTGGTGTGAGTCGTTCGGGCCCCTCCTCCTGGTGTGACTCGTTCGGGCTCCTCGTGGTGTGAGTCGTTCGGGGCCCGCGTCGTGGTGTGAGTCGTTCGGGCTCCTCGTGGTGTGAGTCGTTCGGGCGCCTCGTCCTGGTGTGAGTCGTTCGGGCCCCTCCTTGTGGTGTGAGTCGTTCGGGCTCTTCGTGGTGTGAGTCGTTCGGGCCCCTCGTCCTGGTGTGAGTCGTTCGGGCTCCTCGTGGGGCCTCTTGGGGGCCTCTTGGAGCCTCTTGGGGCCTCTTGGGGGCCTCTTGGGGGCCTCTTGGGGGCCTCTTGGGGGCCTCTTGGGGGGGGCCTCTTGGGGGCCTCTTGGGGGCCTCTTGGGGGCCTCTTGGGGCCTCTTGGGGGCCTCTTGGGGGCCTCTTGGAGGCCTCTTGGGAGGCTCCTGGGGGCCTCTTGGGGCCATCTTGGGGCCTCTTGCGACCTCCTCAGAAGCGCAAAGAAGCGCTGCCCCCTGAGAAGGACAAAATGAGCCCAACACCTTCGTAAAATCAATGATTTTGCTATGAAGGAAGATGAGCGCGGCCCCCTCGGGAGGCCAAAATGGGGCCAAAACCCTCGTAAAAGCAAGGATTTTGGCTTCACAGAAGAGGAGAGGGTTTTTTCTGGGCCCCCCCGACGGGGCCAGAATCCTCGTGAGGGTCGTCGTTTTTTTGCCCTCCCAGGAGTCGAAGAAGACCCCTCCAACCACCCGCCGGACGCCCTCTCCAGGCCCAGGGGGAGGGGGTAGGGGGAGGGGTAAACCCCTCCCCGAAGGGGAAGACGGGGGGTTGAGGACAGAGGGGGCTCTCTAAACCACTCACGCCCTAAAGGGCTGGTGGGACTCTACAGCGCTAACGTCTCGATCTCGCCGCATCTGCTCTTTCAGGGCCCTCAAGATAGTGCAAACGAGTCGCACGGGATACGCTGCTGTCTGCTTCGCCACGCCGCCAACCACCTGCATGTGGACGTGGTACGGCCCACCAGTCCGGTTGGCACACCATCGATCCAACGCCTTGGCCAGCTCCTCCGAGTTGGTCATCCACCTGGTCTGCATCAAAACGTGACGCTCGCCGCTGACCTTCTCGAAACTCTCCGGCTTCATGTCGTAGCAGCACATGGGGCCCTCCACCGTGTAGACCCCCGGCTCGCTTCTGAGCCTTACGATGCAATCCTCCTTCCATGAGTCCGCTCCTGCCGGATGTTCGTGTAGGAAATACCTACCGGCACGAAGTTGCCGCCAGTAGAAGCCCACCGCCGTAGTCAAGTACGGCGGGCTCCCCATTAGTACGTACGGCTCCTCCTGGTCCACTCGGTCCTCCAGCTCCTTCACGTCCTCATCCTTCTCCAAGTCCCAACAATCGTACGACCCTGGCTTGTTCTCGCTCAGGTCCATGGCGAAACCTGGACGGAGCCCATACTTCTGCGCCATTGCCGCGAAGCGCACAGGGGCGTAGGTCTCGATCATGTCCACTGCGCCCAGCTCCACAGCTACCCTGCAGAAGTCTCTCACATCGCTGGTCCGGTACTCCTCGCCAGCGTCTCGCAGCCAGGTCATCAACCCAACTGCCATCTCCTCGGCCAGGCCGATCTTCTCATCGCTCATCTTGACGTCGTCCACCGCGACGTCCAGCGAGCCTACCTCCACGTCCTGCGTCGTGGACTGGACCGCCTGCTCCACGTCGGTCATACCTGACGGGCTCACCTCCGGAGGGAGCACAATAAGCTCGCTAGCTGGAGCATCCTGGCCGGGGCCTCCGCTCCCTGGCGAACCGCCCGTCCCTGGCCTCTCCTCCAAGCGCTCCTCGTCGCCTGGGTCGTCGGCCTTCCGCTTATATCGGCCGCCTCCCGTGTCCGTCTACTTCGCCACCTTCGGTGGCGATCCGGCATCGCTTCCACTCCTCTTGACCCTCGGCGAGTCCGAAGCACCCTGCTGGGCCGCCGGAGGCGCGGCGCCACCCGCAGCTGGAGGCCCCCGGAGATTTTGGCCTGGATCGGCCTGTGCCGCCGGAGGCGCGGAGCTACCCGCAGCCCCCGGAGGCCTCTGGAGATTTTGGCCTGGATCGGCCTGTGCCTGTCCTAATCCAGGGCCCGCTTGAGCTCCAGCCTCCTGTCGCTGAGCTTCCACACGTTCTCGGAACGCCGAGATCCTCCTCTCGTCGTCCTTCTCCACCTGCTCCATGATGCGCTTCCGGCACGCCGCGTCGTGCGTCTGCGCGCCAGCGCCTCGTGCCACTGCCTGGCACCCTGGGCATCCAGCCGTGAGCCCATACTTAAGCACGTCCTTCTTGCGTACGTAGAACCACATCGGGCACCGCCGGCGGAGCGACCGGTACCGGTACGGCCGCTGCCGGCTCCGCGCCGCCTTCGGGTGCTGCGTCCCGTGGCGCCTGTACATCCCATGGTACTCCTCGCAGTTGATCCCAGCCAGCGTAGCTCCACCTCTCAGCAGCCGGCAGGCGTGTAAATGCCATGCCCTGCACCACGCCGTCAGAGCTGAGACCCAATACTGTTCCAGTCCGCGCATGGTGGCTGATGTAGCGCGCGTCCACCGTCACCGGCTCCCAATCACGCTTAGGTCGTCCAACTCGTTCTCGTGCCACCTTGAGGGCAATCTTCTCGCCGAACTGGATGCTCGGCTTCTTCCATCTCCGCCCCGTCTCCCGCTCATACGGGGTCTTGCCGTCGCTGCCCCTGCGGTACTTCGCGATGGTGTCGGCCGCGAAGCCCGCGATCCAGCTCAGCATAGGGTCGCTCTCGTTCAGCTTGTGCCCCAGCTTCTGCTCCAACGCCAGGCGTGTTGCACGCATTTCGCGCTTGACCTCGCGCACGCCCACCTCGATGCTGCCGTTGGCCTGGTGGTCTCCCACAGGCGCCGACCTCGGAATGGCCTCCGCTGATGGGCAAGATTTCGCTGCCGCCTCCTTGAGCGCAACCAGCGCCGGCTCGTTGTCGCTGTGGTTGATGTACTTCTTGAGGCCGGTCCCGTGCACCGTGTTGCCGAAGAACCTCACGCTGTACTCAGCCACGCCTTTCGCCGGAATCGAAGTAGCATAAAGTCGCCCTGACTTCGAACTCTTGATGATCAGGTGCGGGGCCGAGGTCTCGTCCGTGCTCATGAAGCAGTAGTCGCTGTAAATGCGTGGGCCTTCCTTCTCCTCGTCCGCGCTCCTCTCTACCTCAACGCGGTGCTGCGTGCCGGTCGCCCTGGCAGCCCGGCAGACGGGGCACCACGACCAGTACACCGCATGATTCTGCTCCTCGTGCTCCTCCTTTTGAGCCCGGGTCGGGCCTCGCGCGGCCCGCACTCTCTTGAACTCCGATTCCTCGATGATGTTCGGATCCTGAGCCGCCTGCCAGTCGTCTGCCAGCTGCTGCGCTGCAGTCGCGGACATCTGTGGGCCAGCGGATCTCTCCCAGACCGCCGTGACCACAGTCTTGCGCCGACCCGTCCACCGATTGGGGTCGGGGTCCATGCCCAGCGGGCTCTGCGTGTAGCCGCCCCGCTTCACCTCGAAGGACCTCCACTCGCCGTCGGTCCTCTCGAACTCCACTCGGCCGTCGTACAACCGGGTGGTCTCCTTCATGATGCCGTCCTGCTTCCAGTCGTCCTCGTAGGTGGTGCCCGCGATCGGGTTCTCGAGCGGCGCCAAGATGATACCGTCGTGTTTGACCTGATCCACCACCGGACTTACGGCCGAGAGGCCTGCCCCGGAAAATCCGAAGAGCTAGCCGACGGCCTCCAAGGCGATGATGACGATGTCGATTCGATGCCGGCCACGCTGACCGGCTTCCCGTTCTGCTTGACGTAGAAGTTGTAGAGCTGGCCCTCACGGTACAGCGGCAAGATCTCCTCCCTGCCGTAATACCGGGTCAGCTCGTTGAAGGCACGCCGCATGCCCACTGCCACCGGGTGGTGCTTAGGCACCAGCGCGCCGCCGTTGTGCCAGATGAAGGAGTCGTGGCCCTTGGACACCTCCGCGGCCGATCCGAGCGGCTTGTGCACCGCACTGACGGCACCCGAGATGCCCCTCTGGTTGCCATGCTCGTCAATGCCTGGCACTCGGACGCGGCCGAAGTCCGGAATCACGTCGCCGGAAGCCACCCGGAACTCGCCCTTCTTCTGCAAGTTCAGCCCGTCGCCGAACTCCAAGGGAAACGCAGTAGTGGCCGCGCCCGTATCGTAGTTGATGCGCAGCCACTCGTCGTTCCCAGTCCGGATCCGAATTGGAGGTCTGGAGGGGGAAGGTGACGATGATGACAATGATCTCTTCTTATCGTCGATCCCGCTGATGTCGAGGCCGTTCTGCTCCGCCTCCGGCTCGGTGGCGGAGGACTGGTTCCACCAGGGCATCGGGACGTCAGCCGGCCAGTTGTCGAGCGAGCTCATGGTCTTGCCGCCCCTGCCCTTGGGGCCGCCCTTGCCGCCGGCCGCCTTGCCCTTAGGCTGCCCTGGTGCTCCTCCTCCTGGGGCTCCTCGACCTCCTCCTCCTGACTGGTACCTGCAGTCCACCTGCTTGTGGTTGCCGCCGCACGTCCAGCATCCTGATCCGTACCTGGGCTGCTGGCTCCTGGGGTCCCTTCCTCCTCCTCCTCTGGCTCCTCCGGACTTGCCGTCCGGCTTACCTCCGGATTTACCTTCGCCTTTGCCTCCCTTCTTGCCGAGGCTCTTGCCGCCGCTCCTGCAATCCTTGCCGTAATGACCCATCTTGCCGCACTTCCAGCACTGGACGCCCGGCCGGTGCTGCGGGGTCAGCGCGCCGACGTCCATGTCGTCCGGGCCTCGCCTCGTGTTCTTCTGCTTGGCGTCCAACTTCAGGGAGTGCTTGGTCGAGGCGTAGCTGCTCAGCCTGTTGAAGATGTCCGCGAAGGTCTCGTCCTCCGCCGCGTTGAACATCAACTGCGTCTCCAGGTCCGCCGGCGCCAACCTGTACATGGCGGCAATCAGGGAGTCCTCGCTGACCTTGCACGGCTGCCCGTCTCGGTCCGTGAACTCTTCGTACTGGCGCTTCCTCATCAGCCAGTCCTCGAGAGCCTGCCCGAGCTTGTCGATGCTCTCCACTTTGTCTGGGTTCTGCACCTTGCCGAGAATCACGACCCGGCGCATCGCCGACGTGGGGTCGTACTCGGCGTGGAGACGGCGCCAGGCTTCTAGCCCTTGGTGCTGCCCGGCGTTCCTGACGACCTTGTTGGCGCTGTGCGTCGTGAACGACACGAGGTACGTGTACAGGTTGGCCGCCTTCGCCTCCAAGTCCACGATGTCCTCGCCGAAGGCGTCCATGAAGTTCACGCTGTCCCCGTCCCCGTCGTTCGTGATCTTCTTCCGCTGGGACGCCGCCCACTTTAGGGCAGCAGTGAAGTCCGGGCCGAACTTCGCCGACATGAAGCACACGACTTTGTGCGCCCACTCCTGGAACTCGCTCTCCTCCTTCCCGGAAAACGTTCCTGGCTGTCCTACTCCCTTCGCGTCGATGATCTCGTTCCCGCCGCGGTTCGCGACGCGGAGGGCCAACTCCAGGGTCGCCCTCCTGTCGTTGTTGGCCTGCTCCTCCTGGCGCCTCGCCTCCGTGATCTGGAGGACCGCGGCCTGCGTCTCGCGGCGGGCGTCGGCGAGCTGCGTCGCGAGCTGCTGCATCTCCTGCCGGTGTGTTGCCGCCGTCTGCGTCTGCTGCTGCTGGAGCGCGGCGATTTGTTGAGCCAACTGCTCCATGGCCTACCGCCAAGTTGACGAGTCCAACTCGTAACAACTGGCCACGCCGCTCACGCTTGTCGAACGACTTCTTCGAGCGCGTACCGCGCTTCGAGGGCATGCACAACCGTGCACTGCCCTGCGCTGCCTCCCGCAGCGCCGGTGACTGCCGCCGACGGACGCGGAGCTACCCGCAGTCCAATCGCGGCGACTCAGCGCGGAGCTGCCCGCAGCCGAGTCCAGCAATGGCTCGCGCGCTCGAGCCGTGGATCGTCACAGCAGCCTCACGCTACCATGATGAGATGTTTTGCTAAGCCATAGCTTGGGCTCACCAGTGCATGAGCCACCATGTCTACGTACAGTGCATAGCCGCTATCCCACTTAGTGGGATTGTTGTTCGTGGATGCATCATTGCCCCCAGGAGTCTACTTAACAAAATGGGGTCCCCCTGGCTCCAAGGGATTGTGCAGAGTGACCCAAGTTTGATCATATATGTGTATGTATATATATATATATATATATGTATATATGTATGGGTCCTGCCGTATCCCCGCCCCCCTGACAAATTGAGCAGAGGGGGCCGATTGTCCAGGGTCCTCTTCCTCCTCGTCCTCCTCCTGCTCCTCCTCCTCCTCCTCCTCCTCCTTCTCCTCCTCCTCCTCCTCCTCCTCCCAATCAGATTCCCCTATCGAAGGCGGAACCAAGCAAAACCATAGGAAACCCTCGTCGTCGTCCTCGTCGTCGTCGTCGTCGTCTTCCTTCTCTGTCTTGCCATTGTTGTGAAGAGAGTCTGCATCCGTGGCATCCAGGCAAGGGGCGAGCGAAAAACAACAACGGCAAGGAAAAACCAAAAAAACCTAAGGAAAATTCAAAACTACCAAAGAAATCAAAGGCAGACAACAAAAAAAAAAAAAATCCGAAGGAAAAAACACAAAAATTTAAAAAAACAAAGATTTCAATACTTTCTCTTGGGGGCGCGGGGGTGGACGAAGCACTGTTTTTTTTTTTGTTGTTTTTCCTTAGGTTTGTTTTTTGTTTTTTCGGTGGTCTGCCTTTGATTTCTTGTTTTTTTTTGTTTTTTCCTTAGGTTTCTTTGGTTTTTCACCCCCCTCCGCCAGGCCCCCGTGGGGGGCGGACGGCTCCGGACGCTCCCAGGAGGCCCCAGGACACCCCTGGAGGCACCAGAGAGGCACCAGGGAGGCCCCAGAGATGTCCCAGAGACGCTCCTGCAGAGGACCCAAAAGGAAACCCAGCAAGGGACCCAGGAGGAGACCCAGGAGGGAATCCAGGAAAGGACCCAGGAGGGAACCCACGAGGGTACCCAGGAGAGAACCCAGGAGGGGACCCGAGAAGGAACCCAGGAGGGGACCCAAAAGGGAACCCAGCAAGGGACCCAGGAGGAGACCCAGGAGGGAACCCAGGAAGGGACCCAGGAGGGAACCCACGAGGGTACCCAGGAGAGAACCCAGGAGGGGACCCAAGAAGGAACCCAGGAGGGGACCCAGGAGGGAACCCAGGAAGGGACCCAGGAGGGAACCCCAAAAACGGGTTCCCATCATTGTGCCCGAACACAAGGCCACATGGTTGCACGCCTGTTACGCAAGGACACCAGCAACGGCTCAGCATCAGTGGTGATACTACACAACAAACCAAAACTTCAACACTGCCAAGCGCTTCCATGGCGTTACTCTGGAGGGCATCCGAAAAACGGATGCCCCTCCGTGGCGGACGCGGACCCAGGAGGGAACCCAAACAACGGGTTCCCATCACTGTGCTCGAACACAAGGCCACATGGCCGCACGCTTGTTACGCAACGACACCAGCAACGGCTCAGCATCAGTGATGACACCACACCACAAACCAAGTCTTCGACACTGCAAAGCGCTTCCACGGCGCTACTCTGGAGGGGCATCCAAAAACGGATGCCCCTCTGTGGCGGACGCGGACCCAGGAGGGAACCCCAAAAACGGGTTCCCATCATTGTGCCCGAACACAAGGCCACATGGTCGCACACTTGTTACGCAACGACACCAGCAACGGCCCAGCATCAGTGATGATACCACACCACAAACCAAGATTTCAACACTGCAAAGCGCTTCCATGGCGTTACTCTGGAGGGCATCCGAAAAACGGATGCCCCTCCGTGGCGGACGCGGACCCAGGAGGGAACCCCAAAAACGGGTTCCCATCACTGTGCTCGAACACAAGGCCACATGGCCGCACGCTTGTTACGCAACGACACCAGCAACGGCTCAGCATCAGTGATGACACCACACCACAAACCAAGTCTTCGACACTGCAAAGCGCTTCCACGGCGCTACTCTGGAGGGGCATCCAAAAACGGATGCCCCTCTGTGGCGGACGCGGACCCAGGAGGGAACCCAAAACACGGGTTTAGGGTTTAGGGTTCAAGCAATGGCAGCGCTCCATCTGCGACGAGTGGTTCGCGAGCAACGCCGCCTTCGAGGAGCACGTGCTGCGGCGCCCCATATTGTTTCCAGATGGGCTGGAGGACACGCTGAGCCTGCGCGCGATTGCCATATTCCTCCACTACGGCGTCGCTGCTCGGCCTAGCGGGCGCGCCGAGTGCGGCGGGCCGACGAAGTTCGAAGCCCGCGCCGACCGCGAGTGGAACACCTACCGCTGGTCGTGCAAGACCGTCGGGCACAAGCACTTCTGCGAACCTGTGAACTCGCACGGCTTCCTCACGAAGGTTCCTGTGAACTCGTGGATGCCTTTCCTGTACTTGATCAACAACCTCCGCTTGGGGCGCAACCTCAAGGACGTCCAAGACGAGATGGCCGGCCTGTTCGGCAACATTCACAGCGACACGATCTCCGTTTGGAAGCAGCTCTACCAGGAATGCCTGGGGAAAGCGCTGCCTGCGTTGGACGCCCTCATGGTCGGCGGCAAGAAGGGGGACACCGTGGTCGTCGACGAGGCGGTGATCGGCGTCGATAAGGCGGACGGATGGGCGCTCGAATCCAGGAGCGTGAACAAAGGCGGGGCCACTGCGGCGCGCGCAGGGCCGCGCAGGACCACCAAGCTGGTGCGGAAGCAGATCATGAAGCGATTGCCAGCGCGGACGGTCTACAACACCCAGCAAGTGCAGAAGGGCTCCTTCAAGCTCAAGAGCAAGCCGATGAAGGGGCCGATGAAGGGGCCGATGAAGAGGCCGATGAAGAAGCCGATGAAGAGGGCCCCCCCGCGGAAGAACGTAGCCATTCGTAGGAGGCCCGCCGCCAACTTGAAGAGCAACGGCCGCTGGTTCTGGATCGCCGTGCTCGTGGGCAACAAGTCCGACGTCTACACGCGCCAGGACTTCAGGAAGAGGGTGACGTACAAGCTCCTGCCGCGCAAGGCCGACGCCCACAATGGCGAGCCGCGGGGTCTCGAAGAGATCAAGGAGGCTTTGGTGAGCCGCGCGCGCAAGAAGTCGATGGTCGTGTCCGACGGGTGGACCTCAACGCGTCGACGTGGAGTCGGAGAACGCTCGCGCCAAGGGATGGTCACGCAAGCGTTACGGCCACCTCCGCCTGAGCGAGGCAGAGATGGACGAGTGCGTCTTCTACGTCAACGTCGGCGGCGCGATGGCCAGCGTGATGCGGGGCCTGGCCGCGTCCAATGACTTCGTCGCGCGCAACGCCGCGATCTGAGGACGCCTGCACAATGCACAGAGCATTGGCGAACGCAATGAGAAGCGGGCACGGCTGGGGCCTTGCTCGCGAGAGAAAAGTGTTCGCGGATGCAGAGGCGGCGGAGTAGGATGGAGAAGAAGAAGGAGAAGTGGGGAAGAGGGGGAGATCGGAGGAGCGAAACGGAACCTGCACTTCTGCTCAGTTTTTCAGGGGGGCGGGGATACGGCAGAGCCCATATGTATGTATGTGTATGTGTATGTGTATGTGTATGTGTATGCGTATGTGTATGTGTATGTGTATGTGTATGTGTATGTGTATGTGTATGTGTATGTGTATGTCTATGTCTATGTCTATGTCTATGTTTATGTATATGTCTGTATGCGTGTGTATGTGTATGTGTATGTGTATGTGTATGTGTATGTGGAATTGGATGTGTATGTGTATGTGTATGTGTATGTGTATGTATGTATATGTGTATGTGTTTGTGTATATGTATATGTGTATGTATGTGTATATGTATATGCATATATATATATGTATATATATATATATATGTATGTATATATATATATATATATATATATATCCATTCAAATAAATCCGAAAGATGCCTGGTGGGTTTGCGGGGGCCCCGGTCCCCGGAACCCTCAGACAACCCCGAAACGGCTCTGGAGGGCCCCTGGAAGGGCCCGAAACGGCACCGGAGTTGCCCAGAAGAGCCCCGAGACGGCCGATGGAGGCCCCGAGACGACCCAAGACGGCTTTCAGGCGGTCCAAGATGTTCTCCAGACGGCCCCATGAGCCCCAAAGACGCCCCCGGACGGCTCCAGGCGGGTCCAAGGAGTCCCCCGAAAGGGCTCCATCAAGCAAAAATCGTCACAGTCCCTTCGGAAAATTGTCATTTTCAGCAGATTCGGCTTCTTGGTCTTCGAAGCGTCCAAAATGGCCCCAGAGGCTTCCAAAATCGCCCAAGACGGCCCCCAAGAGGGCCCAAAGATGGCTCCAGACGGGCCCAGGACGGCCCAAGAGGCGCCCAAGACCACCCAAGAGGACCCCACGAGAGGCCCAAGAGGGGCCCAGGACAGCCCCGAGACGGCCCATGGAGGCCCCGAGACGACCCAAAACGGTTTTCAGGCGGTCCAAGATGTTCTCCAGACGGCCCCATGAGCCCCAAAGACGCCCCCGGACGGCTCCAGGCGGGTCCAAGGGGTCTCCCGAAAGGGCTCCATCAAACACAAATCGTCACAGTCCCTTCGGAAAATTGACATTGTCAGCAGATTCGGCTTCTTGGTGTTCGAAGCGTCCAAAATGGCCCCAGAGGCTTCCAAAATCGCCCAAGACGGCCCCCAAGAGGGCCCAAAGATGGCTCCAGACGGGCCCAGG